AAGCTCTCTTTCTTTTTCTTTCTTCAACTTCCTTCTGTCTCATTTCTTTTTTTAGAGCCTTATCTTTTAGCTCGCCCTCCGCCTGCCTTATTCTTAAACTTGGGTTTCTGCGCATAAACGAATTAAACCAGGGAAAACCTGCAAGACCAGTATCCTCACTGAAGGAAGTTTTGATTTGAAGTGCCTGCGCAATCCTGAAGGCCGTTTCACGCACAGCCCTTCGGTCTGGTGCGAACCCTCTCGCTTGTAATTTTTTGATATAGTTGACAGTTTTCGTTTCCACTTCTGCGCCTAGTTGACTAGGCGGCCCTAATGAACCTTTTGATTTTATTCCACTTCCAAGTCTGTTCTGTAATGTAGTTCTGGGGATGCTATATAATTTTGCAATAGTAAGCACCCTCTGCCCGTCTCTTACTTTGGCAATGGCCTCCTGCAGAGATTTCTCGGTCCAGAAAGCTTGTGTGTTTCCCTTCCGAACATACACAGTTGGCATCTAATAGAAAAATATCAGAATATAATCTAACTCAGTTATCGAGGATAGATGGGCACCTGCCCAACTATCCTTGTGCCTTTGATGCCCATCTCTCCTTTTTGTTGAGGAGAGATGGGCACCTCGGCCATACGGTTTACATGTTCGTTAAGCGACTCCAGTTCATTTAACATTATTATCCAGCCCCATCCTAGTTATGCCAAAGCATAATTATTCAAAAAACAGTAAAAACGAAAAAGTAACACATCTTTAATGAGACCTTATCTTGACAGTGTTTTGTGAATAATATAAAAATATAGACACAACGACTTATAAAACGACTCTACAACAATGGCCGCGCCTGCTCCTCCAACTAGCAGCGAACGAAATGTTAATAGTTCTTTAAATAACCGCTTGAGGATATTGTGCCCATCTCACCTCACTGCCCATCTCTCCTCGAATTACCCTATGTTCTTATGTAATGTTTTAATGTTATAGCTATATATAAAACAATTTTCAGCTTTATAAAAAATTAATTTCACAATATTGCTTATCTAAATTTATTTCTACAATGTGTCCTTATGTAGTAATCAGTAAATCCAATAATATTATTTTAACGAGCTAAATAGTATGGCTATTAGGTATTGGTCCGTCATCGTTATTATATTATGTTTACTTATTTCTAGTTGCCTGTCGTTGTTAACTTGTCTAACTAATCTTAATGAACTGAAGTCTATGGAATGGTTTTGTTGCAAAATATGATGGGCGACTGCTGATTTTTCAGGTCTTCCATATTTTAAGTGTGCTATGTGTTTCTTATATCTTACTTCAATAGATCTTTTTGTCTGTCCATAATATTTTGCATTTACATTCAATTTCGTAAATTCCAGACTTTTCCGAATTCTCGACTTTGTCTTTTGGACTTCCCAAAAGGCTCAGTAGTGTATGACTTGTCTTAAAAAACCACCTTCATACCTGGTTCCTTGAAAATCTTTCCAAAGTTCTTCGTATATTGGTGGTATGGAACTAAGATGTATTTATCTCGGGTTTTGTCCTTTCTGAAAGTCGAGATTTCGTTCATTCTTAACCTAAACCACTTCTTCCTTATTATGTCATCTACAATACCCCTCGAGAAACCGTTAGTGGCTGCTTTTTCCTATATTGTACGTTTTTCTTTTGTGAACCTATCATGTGTTAGAGAGAAAGTCAAAAGACGATGCACTAAAAAATTCAACCCAGCACGTTTATGCTGTCCACAGTGATGTGAACTGTCAGGAATATACCTGTACGTTCTTGTTTCTTTTCTAAATATATCGTATTCTAACCCTCCATATTGGCTCCTCATTACCAAAACGTCAAGAAATTGAAAGTTTTCCCTTATTTTCTAACTCATACGTGAATTTTATTGATAGATATCTATTATTTAGAAAGGAAACAAAGTCCTCAATATTCGATTTTTTGGTATCGAATACCGCGAAAATATCATCCACATACCTTAGCCAAATCCTAGGAAAATACTTTGACTTTTCTTTGGTTTCCATTTCGAATCTGCTCATAAACAGGTCTGCCAGGTAGACAAACAAGGGGTTTCTCATGGCCGTTCCTTCCTGTTGTTCATAAAAGCAACCTTCTACCTGGAATCGATTTTGTTTCATACACAAATTAGTAAGAGAAACGAATTCATCGATTTCGTAATTACTGAAATTATTTTTCTCTAGTAGTTCCCTGAGGTATTGCAAGGTCTGTGGAATTGGGACGCTAGGAAATAAGGAACTAACATCAAAAGAAACCAAAATCTCACCTTCTTGAAGAACCATGTTTTTTGTACGTTGAAATAAACTCTAAAGAGTTGTTTATACTAAAACCTGGTTCCGCAATAGATAAGGTTTCAAATTCCTTAGTGAGCCACTTCGTTATTTGGTAAGTAGGAGCTCCAATAGCTGACACGATGGGGCGCATGGATTTTCCTGGTTTGTGGATTTTTGGGAGGCAATATAGTTTCGACACCGTTGGGTTGGAAACTTGTAACTTCCGTTTTAGTTGAGGGGTAAGTATGTTGTTGCATTTCTTGAGGATGTCTTTTACTTCGGCAATCATCTTTGGTAACGGGTTCCTCGACAATTTCGCATACGGTCCGTTAGTAATTAGAGTACTGACCCTTTCGTAGTAGTCCGATTTATCCAGAATGACTACTTTGTTACCGTTGTCGGCTTTCAAATAAAAAACGTCATTGTCTTTCAATCGTTTGATAAGTTTCTTTTGGTTTTTATCGTTGTTTATTGAATGCTTCATTTTATCTGTTATCATGTTCTTGGAGATTTGATTCCTGACTTTTTCTCGAACTAGTCCCTTCGAGGAATCGGGCATATATTAATATTCATTACTACACCAAAGGTTCCAAACAATGCATCATGAGTACAGGGATATAAGTCAAATAACAATACAATACATTTACAATAAGTTATAAGATAAAAACAATACATATAGAATTAGCTGAAGTGGAAAGAGCTAATTTCAGAGATGGAACAGTAAAAAAAATAGAGGTGACAACTTGCAAAACTGCATTTGACACACACGTTATGCAGAGGTGAACGTTTCAGAATATTTGTACGTGGTGTTGGCAGATAAAAAAGAATAACCACGCTAGAGTTTGGTCTAGGTAAATTGAAATTCAGTTTTTGCAGAATATGTGGGTCAATAATTTAATTATTAATCAGTTCAAAAAGAAAAATTGTGGACTTACAACCATGAATTCAACTCAGGTTATTCATAACATGTCTAGCTAACAACGCATCATGGGGAAACCCAATTGGTGGATAGATATTGTCTGATCTATAGGAGAGAAGTTTTAGGAAACGGCGTTGTACTGATTCAACTTTCTCTGTATACAACTAATGAGATGGATTCCAGATTATGGATGCATATTCTAATCTTGATCTGACGAAAACATAGTATAAGGTTTTCGATGTAGATGGATCCACGAAACCTTTGGAGATTCGTGCAATAAATCCATACATTCTTCAAATGTGAAATGTGAGTTTATTGGCAAATAAGGACTAAGCCATAGCAAAAATATATTATAACCCTGGTTTAGTTAAAGTCGAACTATATCTGAAATTGAAGAGGTAGAAGTTCGAATAACCAACTACAACATTGTGAGGTGTGATTTTACTGATTCTACTTCTAGATATATTGGTGGAGTGCTAATATATGTTAGATCAGATATTATGTTCACCAACTACTGAAAAGTACTGGTGTAAAGTTATAAAAATTAGATATTTCAATAAGCAACTATTGATAGGTGCCTTATATCACTCCAAATGCAAGTCTTTCTATATTCATCAATGATCTAGAATAATAATAGAGGGGGACTTCAATATTGATTTCTCTAATAATGATTTCTATAGAACAATACCTAATAAGAAATATGCTCAACATATAAGGGATATCACATTTACCCGATGTACCTTCAACAGTAATACTATTGTAGACTATGTTTTAAGTAATTTCGAAATATTTACAGAAGTTTATAATATCCGTAAGATAACAGATCATTCATTAATTTCAGTAACTCATGGAGTAACCACAAAATTCAGGTACTTATTTAAACTATTCAGAAATCTTGGTTCAATCGACATGGATAAAAGAGACTTAGAATTAGGAAGGACGGTAGCCTGGCGACACACTCAATCGACCGCTGTGTGAACCGGTGGTTCAAACCGCAAGAGCGGAGGTTAGATTTTCACTTCCTATTGTCCAACTCGTGTTAGGAATCACACGTTTAAAGGTAAGACCTCGTTAGTAGATAGTATTGACATCAGTACTTTTCTAGAGGATTTTAAATACAAATGTCACATAGTGTACTTTGGTACGAAACTGAACTGAAAATCAAAACTTTTGATCGAGATCGACCATATTTGTTATTTAATTGCAGTAGAACAGAACAAAATTGCTATAATTTAAGAAACATCTGTAATGAGTTTTGTCAATTTACGGAAAACTAAAAGACAATTATTTTATGACTAAATCGACATGAATAAAAGAAATCCATCATTAATGTGGGGAGAACTCAAGAAATTTGTTAATATGAAAAATAATTCCTCCTCATTTAGTAATGGGATACACTCCAAAAATGGAGATGGCCAAATAAGCATTATAAGAAAGGATGATGATGAAATTTGCAGAAAGTTTCAATAACTTTTTCATTGACAGTATTAGGAATACAAGCTTTATGAGCTTTAATATAGAAGCAACTTCAAAATACAAAAACTCCTAATCTCTTTGTCGGTACAGTCCAACGCAAAAGTCCTGAATTATGTAACACAATAAATAAACGGCAAACTCCGCCTTTGAATCTAATAAGAGACACTTTGACAATGGCAATTATTGATTTAAGGCGTTGCAAACGGAGTTTCGCGCTTTTATTGGTTCAAGGGTGGTCCAGCATACACAAGGGATGCTGCGGAACATCATATCATCTGATTCAGTTGATAAGTTACTACCGAATATATCGCACAGGTTTTCTGAAAAAGTTGTTGTTTTGTTTGAGTTTACAAAAAAACAGGTGAGTCGTTTTTGTACATTTATTCAGAACTTTATTGTTACTGATTTTTGTAATGTGTAGTCCTTATATATTCTCAGAATATTCTGGAATTGACTTACAACATATCAAAAAAAAATCGAGCCAATTGTTATCGAATTAAAAATGAAGGCAATGAAGTTATGTTCCACATTTGAGATATTTAACTGAAAATTTCACAGTTTTCGACGAATGAAATACGTATTTCTTCTCGCGTTATCGTTAACCCAGTTCGTAATAGCGTGTAGATAATTTTTGGAAAAATTCAAGTGCGCTTGCAACAATTGCAAATGTTATAAACAATTAACTGAAAGAAATATCTCAAAAACTATTGACATTTTTCAAATTTCAAAAAAGATTCAAGAAGAGGAGAAAATTCATCAAAAAAAATACTACCTCCCGAACCTGTAGGACCAATATTTCTGATTTTCCCAGAGAGTTGAAAATGCGTCCCAGAACAGGTACTCTGGCTTAAATCTTTGATGCAAATCATGATTTTAAAAAATCGTTCCCTTAACATTTTTTTATTGCTTAAAATCGCATTTGCTGATTACCAATTTTTTTTGTCACTTGTTATTAATATAAGGAAACCATTTTTTTATATCATAATGGCTCTTAAAGTAACTGCAGTAACTAATTGAAAAGAAATTACATATGTGTGACTAATTATCACTAGTTGATTTTATTTATAAGACTGGTCAAGTTTTATTCATTTCATTAAAGTGAAAAAAAAATGTTTTCATTTAAATTCTCATTGTTTAATTATTGAACAATTTGTTTTGAACATTAAATTGTTTCTATATATTCTTTTCTCTTTCTACACAATGTTACAAGAACAACTATGTATTATTTCTTGCGAATATAAAATTTTTTATATTTTATATGGAATTTAAAAAATTCTGTTTTCTTTTACTCCATCATTATTCTAACCTGGTTTTTTGTGTTTGAACTTATTATATCTTATAAAGTAATTGAGATACGATGAAAAAACTCACGACTCGTTTTTTCTCTAATAATTGAAGACAAAATTCAGCCCAAAATTCAGACTCTTACCCAATTATTTATTCCTTTTATACAATTTCTTTAAAAAAATTCAAGATTTATTTCAATTTTTATTGATAAATATCTTATAAACTATAATGAATTTGACTATATCACTCATGTAACTTTCTATCCAACGTATATTTATCAATAATTTCAGCTTATTAATTTCCCTTTAAATCTATATTATGAATAGAAATTAGTTAACAAGAAAATTTTTCCTTCGGTTAGTTATCCTAAGCATCATACAAATTTGGAAAATGTCGAATAGTTTTTGAGATATTTGCGAAAAAGCAACCCCCAGGCATGAGACCTATACAAGAAGAGTTGAAAAAGAGAAATATTTTGAAATAACAAAGTCCAGCTGAAGAGAAGAAATAGAAAGAGTAGAAAAAAAGTTTCCTGCTGCGCAAGCTGAGCTTCAGACCGACTGTCGAGGAACTAAAAGAGAAGATTATTCGGTTCTTCAACGATTATATCGAGGTGACTTAGGCGCATGATTATGATCGTAGAGCTGACAAACCCTGGACCAGATTGACACCGAAAGATGAGGCGGCTATCAGAAAAGAGCTGAACGAGTTCAAAAGTTCTGAGATGTCGGTTCATGAAGATAGTCGTCACTTGACAAGATTTAATAGGCCTTGACGATTGCAAGGCGGATTAGAGGAAAAGCAAATTACTGTGATGGGCATAGTTGTAGTAATCCAGCGGCGGCTCGTCAGAGGAGGCAAGGGAGGCTTAGCCTCCCCATAAAATTTGAGGGTATTCATCGCAATAAATTAAAAGATATTGACAAATAATTTTTTTTTCTAAAAATGCTTGGGTGTCATTACTTTACCATTAATTTTTTATATAAATACATAATATGCCCGAAAAAACACTCACTACGTAGTACGTACCACACTGTATCCTGCATCAACAAACCTCAAACGCACCGCCCATGAACGAATAACGAAGAAACCATCAACTCGAAATAATAAATGCCATACGTTGAAACGTTGCAAGGGAGCCAAGCCTCCGACCGCTTTAAAAAACACAAGCTCCGCGAGACCGATCCAACCAGCGACATACGTCCCGATTTGTAATTTTAGTTGCAGAAATTATAGCGTTAGAGGAGGCTAGCCTCCAGTTGGTCTCCGACTTTAGCCTTCCCTGTTCTCCAATGCACGAGCCGTCACTGTAGAAATCTTTCCCATAATCGCTTACTTAAAAAAAAGGATTCTTCGTTAGAACGTTAAACTTGGCAGATTGTGTAATTGTTTTTGTACATACGTGATTTTTTATTACACACAGTTTCTATTATTATGATTATTGAAAAATACTGATTATGAATGTAAATTTTCTCTTCTTTGTTCGTTTGTCGTTCGTTGAAAACACATCTTGTTATTTTTTTCAGTTAATTGTCTATAACTTTTGCAATTTTTGCAAGCAGAATTTTTTTTTATTATCTGCACTCTATTTCTAATCGATATACATTGATGAAAAACGAATGGAAATCCGTTCAGTGGTTTTTGATTTTATCGCGTTCAGACAGACAAAAGTATAGACAGGCAGACAGACAGCCAGACAGCCAGACGCGGCGGGAGGACTTAGTTTCATGATATGTATCACAACACAACACCTCTATCTAAAAATTCAACTTGATGCTTGTGTTCTTTCCGCAGTCACAATCGACAAATCGCTGAATTAACAATTGTTTCATCCCCTAAAATCATCATCACTCAAATGGTAATAAGCGTTACAATTTCTCGGCCGGTGGTTCTCAGCAAGCGTGCGAATGTAATCCGATTACATTTTGTTTATATGATTGATAATGGGATAATTCGAGGGCGATAACTAAAGCCACGTGCATGAAAGAAATCCCTACAGGGCCAGTATTGCTCCCAAGAGACGTAGCGCGGAGTGACGTTTCTCAGGAATTTTCGATACTTTCCCCCTTTCTATGTTTATAAATGATAGGATAAATAAAAATACATGTGTCACTGTTTATGAAAATATCGGCTATTTTGATGAAAAATTCACGGCGCAAGGGATTGGCACAAGTGATCGGGAAGAGAGAAGAAAGGGATTTCTAGAAATAACAGTGCAGTTCAAGATTAATTTGTTTGGTTCTGCGAAATGTCAGTAGCGCTGATGGAAATTCCATTCAGAAAAATGAAAACTATAAATGTCACAGGAGTTTTTCACAATATTCTACCATTAGCTGCGGCACAGCACTTCTCAGCTATAATATCCCAAGGACATTGATAACTAACGAAATAATTTTATCACAGTTTTCGAAAGCACGTTATTTGGTAACATCCCGACGCCGAACGTGCTTGAGGAAGTTGTGATAAAATTATGAGTTATTTATCAATGTTCGAGGGATATTCGGTGAGAAAATTTTTTGCAATTCGAACAAAATTATTTATTGAACACACAGTTATTAAAAGAACAATTCGTATAATGATATTCCGTTGATCTTGCTGTATTTGCCTCGGTTACTGCATAGGTGTTTCCACGCATACTATTGATTATTTGGTTATGATGTTCCTGATCAATATTCAAATAAGGTTTTATGGAATTTCCATTATTGTGCCCAGTAATTTTCAACAATTGCTGTTCTCGAACTCCACTCTTAGCTAGTTGACTGACTGCAGTTGCTCTATTAGAGTGATTGGTTATTTTCCTCTGTTTCGTATCCAAGCCAATTGCTTCAGCAGAAGATTTCGTCCATCCGTTGATTATATTTCTACCCAGAGGCATATTGTCATACCAGTTATCGCTTCCTGTCTTCCAGTGACGATTTGGCCTTAAAAATAGTCTATTTGTCTTGATATTTGTGCCTCGTTTTGATAATAATTTAATGAATAATCTGACAGGACAAGCATTGTTATCACTATTTTGAACTAACCATTTGCTAGAGGCGCAGTTCTTTGAACCCCCTTGGCAGGTTTTACTGAAAATTGGATTATATTCTATCCTATTAGTTGGAGATCCATTGTTGTCCTTTTCGATATGAAAATAATCAACTAAGCAAGCAGCACCTTCACCACCTCTCCAAGCCAATTCCACCGCTGCTATGTGATAAAATTTGCGTAGGAGTCCTATAGGGGTATTTTCATCCCAAAAGTTTATAATTTTACTCATTTCATTTGAAGTTAATGGTACCTAGCTTGTTTTGCGTGTAGTGGGATCTGTTTGTAAATTTCTTCGTGCTGCGTCGCGTGCATTCCGCGCTTGTTTGAATGCAACACTTTTAAAGGGGTCTAGCATGATATTATACTCCTTGTAATACTTTTCTTGTAATAATTTTCTTGTTGTATTCCATACGGTTTTAACAGTAGCCTCCTTAAACTCTGTGCTATCCTTTTTTCTCATATTAATCGCCCAATCCTTGAGTATTAATGCAAGCTCTTCGAGAGTACGATTTCCATCCAATTCATATTTTCTGGCGTCACAAAACTCCATAAATATTTTCCAAGTGTATTTTTTACTATTGACAGTATTTTTTGGTGTATTTTCTTCAATGATTTTGTCAATTGCCGCATCATTTTGAACACCAAAGCGAGGAAGTGACATTTTCGAAATAAATTGAATTACTGAAATGTCAAACAACTTTATTGTGTTGGTTGCTTAGCAATGTCATTCCATAAGTGATAACTACCCGTGAAAACTATCCATGGGTAGTTATCAGTGTAATGATGGTTTCATTGGTTATTTCGACACACATGACTAGAAATAGACAAATTTGATAAGATAATTTTTTTGGCAAAAAATTTTCAATATAATAGACGACTTATTTAGGGAAATAGATAATCGAAAGACTGTCTACTATTATTAGATTATATATGGTCTTGCTATAGGGACTTCCGAACTTTGAAAACTGATAACGACCTTCTTGTTGAAGCTCCATCTGTCAAATTAGTTGTCACTTATTCAGTCTGTTTTGCCAAATCACCATGGACGGATGTAGCATTCGACAACACGTCCAAATAATAAAATTGTGTTACCAAAATGGGTGTTTTTTACCATGCGCTTCGCCAATTTTACGGTTCCTATAATCGTCTTACCGAGACGACTATTCGCAATGTGGTGGATCAATTTGAGTCCACTGGTTCAATAAACAATCGACCAACGCCCGTACGTTGACGGAATGCAAGATCTGTCGAAAACATCGCCGCTATCTGTGAGAGTATGCAGGTGAATCCGAGGCAGTCGATTTCGCGTCGTTGACAAGAACTCGGCCTTTCGCAGACCACAATTTGGCGTATTTTGCGTCGTGACTTGGGCCTGCACCCGTACAAAATTCAACTGGCCCAGGAACTGAAGGTAAACGACCATAGACGTTTGTTCGCTTAATGGGCTCTGGAGCAGTTGGCAACTAAGTAATTTTCGTTGAAAAATCATTTTTAGCGATGACACCCATTTCTGGTTACGTGAACAAACAAAATTGTTGAATGTGGGACAATACCAATCCACATGAGATCCAAGAGCGCCTAACGCATCCCGAAAAAGTCACTGTTTGGTGAGGATTTTGGGCTGACGGCGTCATCAGTTCATATTTCTTTGAGAACGACGTTGGTCAGGCAATAACTGTCAACGGCGAGCACTATAGGTCGATAATTATCAATTTCTTTTGGCCTGAAGTGGATAATTTGGACAGCAACGACATGTGGTTTCAACAGGACGGCGCTACGTGCCACTCAGCTCATGCCACATTCTGCACAAACGATTTAAGAGCATGGCCGATTCACGTGAAGGTGATGTGCACTGGCCACCGAGTTCGTGCGATTTGACTCCGTTAGACTTTTTCTTGTGGGGTTTTCTTAAGCCGCAGGTGTATGCGAATAAGCCACAAACTACAGCGGTCCTCAAAGCCAACATAACCCATGCCAGGTCAAATTCAGCCTGATTTATGCGACAGAGTCATGGAAAATTGGACGTTTCAAATGCGCTCCACTCAGAGAAGCTATGGTGGAAATTTGAACAATGTTATATTCCACACAGAATGGAATCAATAGGTCTTTCAAAGGAATAACAAATGTTGATGATATCTGATACACAGTTTGTTTTATATAAATTTAAAGATAAGAAGCGCTTACTGAAATATACTATAATAAAGTGTGGTACTACTGCTTTCCCTGCTTCACTTCATAGGTTTAGGAAATTACGCACTCAACTTCATCGAAAACTATCTCACAGGAAGATCTCAGAGAGTGGCATTACACGGAGTTTCATCTGAAAGTAGATTTATATCACGTGGAGAAGCACAAGGTTCGATTCTTGGTCCTCTGATCTAGCCTATTTTCTAAAATACTCACGAGTTCAAATGTAGGCAGACGATAACCAAATATACTACTATTTTGAACCAAATACAATAGATGAATTACAACGGAAAATAAATGAAGACCTACTTCAAATTGTAGATATATCTAAGAAACCTCGGTCTTTATACTAATAAAATGTTCCCATGATGTATTTTTCATACTTCAGAAATCTTACGCAAAACCCAAAATGATATATGGTCATAGACATATCATTAGTAGGCCACTCAAAAGTCTGTTATGCAATTTCTTTGTACTATCTCAAGCTACTGCGATTATGTTAACTGCAAGTTAAATTCAATATTTGTTCTAAAATTTTTTTAAGAAAAACTATTACAGGTAAGATCCAATCTAAATCCATTAGTAGATTGAAATTGTTTGCAAATCTTGAGCATAGCTGTGGAGGTATATTGAATGAAAGCATATTGAGGATTTCTGGTGAAATTGTTAAATTGTTTATTAATTTATATAGGAATATCATCGATGTTAAAGTTGCCTGTGTTCCAAAGATAGTATTTTGAATTCTGATCTCAATTGTGATGTCCTGACGTTACTATAATTAGGCTACAAGCGGTACTATTCAAAATACAAATATCTCAACAGTTTATTTCGTACTTTTTCCAAAATCATTTAAATGTGTTTGATGTTCCCTGGACCAAATAATTGAGGCAAATTCTAGTTTAGGCCTGACCTGGGAATAGTATAGTACTTTAATGGTATTAATATTGGACAAATTCCTTATTTGTCTAATAACAAAGCCTGAAATACGATTAGCAGATTTGATTATGTCATTAATGTGAGTGGAATCAAATGTGCTGAGTCACTTGAACACTTCCCGTGAAAGTATCTATAGAAGAGAGACAAATCTCCAACCTCTCTTCGATGTTCCAGACTATCAAGGTTGAAAGTGATATTCTCGTCTTTTGAGAAGCAGCCTTTGCAATTTCAGCGACATGATTGTGCCAAGACAAATTGGTGTCCATTTTAACCCCCAACAAACTTATCGAAGCAGAAAGCGGAATTGTCTGTCAGACATTTATCTTTTTGGAGAAAACCGATGCCTGGGCTTTGTGGCATTGAATTGAACCTGGAGGTGTGCAACCTCCTGATGCCGGTGAAATTGTGCATTCGCAGCCGATGTCCTGGAATCCAAATGAAATGGCGAGACAAGTGTGCTGTCGTCAGCAAAGCATATATTGGATTCTTCGTTTTTTCCAATGAGTCGTTGATATACAATAAAAAGAGGGTTGGAGACAATATGGATCCCTGGGGAACACCAAAGTTGATGATAAAAGTATTCGAAAGATATCCATCTACCGTCACTTACAGAGAACATTCTTTCAGAAAGTTGGAGAGCCATACAGAAGAATGACCCGACAAACCATAGCATCGAAGTTTGACCAGCAAATCCTCATGCCACACACGGTCAAAAACGTTAGAAATATCAACCTCGTCGGTCTTACCGCAATATATATTCGTTTTGAAACTTATTTTACTTTAAAACAGAAGCGTAAGATTTCTTCATTATGAATTAACAAAAGTTGTATGACTATTGGAAAAGTGAAATTGGGTCTCACTGCAATATTTCACTTCTAGAATTATTTGGTTTCGAAATATTAACAATCTGCTACGTTGCGTCCATTTTATTCGCAAGATCACTAGAAATATGCTCTTTCAAATACAAGTTACATTATACATATACGTGAAATGTGCAATTAATAGATCTTGTTCATTCAACATAATGGTATTTTTGCTTTATTTTATTGTAGAAACCTAACAATTTTTTATACATTTCCTTCTCCCTAAAATTGCAATTCTGAAAAAACTAAAGGGATCTTCAATCATTTTTTGTTTTCGTTACAGAAAAATTAAAGGGCTAGAAGACTGGTACAGCACCTCACCTTGTGAGGATGCCATTATGACTTCAGAAAATCGGGAGGTACTTCAAACCATAACGACTTGTAGTAACGTTGTTTCCAAGAAGAGGTGAGTTTTCGTCAACTAGTAAAGGATGTGAAATTTAATATATGATCATCAAATCTCAAAATACTCACCCTGAACTTTTCGGAAATATTCCAAAGCGTTTTAAATAATCAAGCCGCCAATTCTAATGAAAACAAAAACAATACTCAAGAAGACAGGAATATAGCTCATAGCTCCTTTTCTAATCTAACCAAAATTTTGTTCCAAAACATAATTTGTTTACTTTGTAGTTCTTGGCGAATTGGCAAATATTTACTTTTCCAAAAATATTGTGATAGAAACATTCTTAGATGTTTTGATCAAAATGTAGCATGTATACAGCGTGACTCACGGTCGATGGTAGGTTAGACGTTTCTGGAAAACGCAAAGCATGATTTTTCTGAAAATTTCACCTCTCACATTTCCTTACCTGTTCTATCGATCTAAAATATCTTCAGCATGGCGGCGTTGCCACTTCTATCAAAAAGTCCTAGCAATTATATATTTTTTAATGGAACACCCCGTATATAATTGCATTTTTGGAATCGCTCTAGTATTTTAATACTTTTTTGTTGATAATGTCCTATACCTATCTCTATCTGTTTTCGAGATAAAAAATAAATTGTGCTAAATATGGTCCAAAACATAACCTTAATTGAAATTAAGTACATCAGTACTCTCAATTCATGAAAAGTTGATATTTTGATGATAGTTTGGACAAACTCGAAATATTCAAATTACACCAAGAAATCGACACCATATTATACAGGGCGTGCTAAAATTACTATTATTTATATTGTGCATAAAAGTAGTCAAAAGTTCCTTTTTTCAAATGAAACCCCTGTATACTACTCGGTAAATTGAAAGATGGTGAAAAATGCTTCAAGATGATATATCATATCCCTATACCTAAATCGTCAAGTTTTCTCAATAAAGTCGCTTCTTCTAGAAACATTATTATTTTTTAGATCTTGGATTTAGGTAGCACTGGAATTATCAAGCTTATAGCAGTTCGGTTACTTATAAGTAATTTACAAAGAATTATCGATGGTGTTTCGAATCATCTTCCAAAATGAATGCAAATATCGATTATTCAAACGAAGTTCTTATGAAATTATTTATTATACACATGAACAAAGTGATCAAATCATTGTCAGAACGTGTAAAAAATTCAACCAAATGAATCCTGAATTAACACCAATGAACGAGAGGAAGTTTGTAAGGTTACAAAATAATTTCCAGGGAACAACTGTACCAAAAATCAGTCATTTCTAGGTACAAAGTAAGATTTTGTGGGCTAAAACATGTGAAAGTACAGACAACAACAGAATAGGATGATTCAAAATATCAACTTTTCATGAATTGAGAGTACTGATGTACTTAATTTCAATTAAGGCTATGTTTTGGACCATATTTAGCACAATTTATTTTTTATCTCGAAATCAGATAGAGATAGGTATAGGACATTATCAACAAAGAAATATTAAAATACTAGAGCGATTCCAAAAATGTATTAATATACGGGGTGTTCCATTTGTAAAAATATAATTGCTAGGACTTTTTGATAGAAGTGGCCACGCCGCAATGCTGAAAATATTTTAGATCGATAGAACAGGTAAGGAAATGTGAGAGGTGAAATTTTCAGGAAAATCATGCTTTGCGTTTTCCAGAAACGTCTAACCTACCTTCGAGCGTGAGTCACGCTGTATATGACATTTTCCCATTGACTTTTATTATATCTACACTAGTTGTTGACCGTGGCTTCGCCCTCGTAGAATTTGATTCATCACATTAAGTTTCGTGACAGACTATTTTAAAAAAAAGTTACAATATTTTTTTATTAACCCAAAACTTCAGTTCTCTAACTTCAAAACTGACGAAATTCATTACAATCTCTAAACCACTATTTTTCTCCTTGGGGATTGAAATTCTTGATTCACTTTGTTGATGTTTATTCACGCTTTACAAAGAACCTTCCTGCATATTTCAAGATTCTAGGTTCAGTGACTTCGGCTGTACGTCAATATAAGAGTGTCAGTCAGTCAATAGGTACCCAATTATACAATATTGAACAACATCAGCAAAAATAGTGAAAGGATCAGAGTGAAATACATTAGTAATCCTACTCATACTGATATTATAAATGTGTGAAGAAGGATGAATGTAATTTATGTATTTACATGTTTCACTTTTTCACGACTAAACTTATTCAAATATAAGTTGATATATAGATAATACTGCGGAAAACAGCTAGTTATTATTAGTGGGTACCTATTGATTGAGTTATCCGCTGGGACTATACACATCCGTCTTTCAGGAGGAAGTGTACGCAATCTTGCAATGTGCAAGGCTCATTAAATTGAGACCTCAAAGAAATGAGCGGAGCAATATTTTTACAGACAGCAAGAGCGCACTAGGGACTCTGACAAACCCGAAGGTGACATCAAAACTGGTCTGGGAATGCCATGAAGAACTGAAAGAACTTGCAAACAGGAACAAATTAACTTTGTACTGGGTGCCAGGGCATTCAGGAATCACAGGTAATGATAAAGCTGATGAATGCGCTAGACACGGATCATCAGCTTCATATATAGGTCCTGGACCAGCTCTGGTACGAAACCAGATTAGGACGTGGACCAATAAGAAGCACACAGAGTACTGGACAAAAGTACCTGGCAACAAACACAGCAGAACTTTCATTAGGGAACCGTTCGAGAAAAGAACCGAAGAACTACTTCAATATAGTAGGGATCGGCTCACAATAATTTCAGGGTTACTAACCGGTTATTATCCGCTTAGAGGATAATAACCTGAATAAAATGGGGCTGTATAAAGAAGACCTCAGCTGCAGATTATGCAACGAAGGGATACAAACAGCTCTACACATCTACACAAATTAAGTCCAGAAGAATATGACAAACATTCAACACGGAACCTGTACAAACTAGTATAGGGAACAAGAATGATGGAATGCGTGTTATGTGGAGATGGGAGAATAAACGCAATAAGCCCAAGAGGCTGCAGTGTTTATTGGAGACTTAGACTAAATGGACAAGTCAGACAGCTCCCAAGGGACCAAAAAACCTATTGATTAACTGACACTCTTATATTAATGTACAGCCGAAGCCACTGAACCTAGAATCTTGAAATATGCAGGTAGGTTCTTTGTAAAGTGTAAATAAGCATCAAGAAAGGGAATCATACATACATACATTTATCCGTCCTCACAAACTTGTACATTTACAATATGTTAGTATGGATTTTTGCTTGTCTTGAATCTTATGAAAATTACTGCTAACAATGACAAACTTTTCAAATGAATATGTTCGTAAAATGTTTGGGACAAAATTTCATTCAAATATCATTTGTTCAGTTATATTCACTATTGAAAAAATGGACTTGATTCTAAAAAATTCGAAGAAAATATTACACATACCATTTATTATGTGTATCACATGGAAAATATGATTAGAATAACTCTTTTCTTTCATTCCAAAAAACCTATTGGTGAGCACTGCCCTAATTTATATTTCATGAGTTATGCCGTTTACAGTTTTGTTTATGTTTTGGGATAGCGTGACATCCCCCTCGTAAAATTGATATGTAACTTACGATGTTCCCACTATCGATTTTAAAATAAAAATTTGCATGCTCACGAAATGTTCATGCTTATATAGTTCATCCAAATAATGTAATTTTAGAAAATGCATCGACGACACGCAATATATCTTTCAGAAACCACGATTTGCCCCGAAGGAGAGTCTAATTTGTTTTCTTTACTATAGCTAGTGAATGAAAATTCTTCCAAAATAGATTGTTAGTGAAAAAATCTTCGATCTCAATTCCGTTAACACTATACGATACTATTAACAGTAGTCATATTTTGTTCGATTCTTGACCTACTTATTTTTTGGAAATTCATATTAAATGTAGGATAGAGATGTAGGATAGAGGATAGAGAAAATAAGAATTGCATTTATCGAATACCCTGTGAGTGCGGAAAATCCTATATTGGTGAAACTAAGAGGCCATTGAATGTTCGCATTGCCGAGCACAAGAAACACACAGCGAGGGGAAACCAGCAAATCAGGAATGGCAGACCATGTGTTTGGACCCATCAACACAACATCGAGTTGTCTCAAGCTGAGATCTTGCACAGAGAGGAACATTGGTTTAGGAGAAAATTCAAGGAAGCCGCATACATGTTGTCCAACAAGGTATTCAGCCAAGCCAGCGTACAAATACGCAACATATGGAAACCCATCATCAAGCAAAAAATGGCCAACTCCCGCCAAAACGGTCATCTCCCACGGAACCAGTGAAGCGGAAAATGGAAAGCAGGGATGAGTCAAAGTACTCGAAGTCATCTCTCGGAGGAATCAGTCCAGTCATCACCGAAGACGATTGTAGATACTAACAATCGAAACGTCGTGAACTAACGTGACTTGGAATCTCTCCACTTTTTATTTTTATTTTCTTTTTTTCATTTCTTCATTTTTATTTATTCAATCGTTTTATTTTCACTTGCATTTTATTTCAGTGTTATTTCATTTCAGGTTTATTTTGGTTAATATTATTGTTATTTTCAGTGGCATTCAGACCACCTGGCATGTGGTCTGAATGCCACTTCCATATTGGTTTTTCTGAAGAAACTCACAATTATCTCTGTTCTTTTTCCAAAATATGTTAGAATTACCCATTTCTTGCTTTCTTTTTGTTTGACCTGAGGGTATATTAATCTGTAAGTTTATTTACGGCTTTGTTTTCTGACTAACTTCTGGATAGTATCTGCGTTGAAACCATTATTATGACCTTTCTGTGTAATTATATCAATTTCCCTAGCTAGATTGTTAGCAGACAAAGGCAGTAGGAATGCTCTGTGCAACATAGAATTGTAGCCTGCTGATTTATGACTGTCTGGATGGAAATAATCGCTTGGGATGGTGATGTCTGTATAGCTAGGTTTTCTGAAAACATTGAACTCCAATTTATTCTGATTGTGTGTAATGGCGAGGTCTAATAAATTTATCTGTTTCTCCATCTCTGTTTCGAGTGTGAACTGAATATTGCTATTGAAACTATTCATGAATGTCATAAATTGGTTCAGCTGTCCTGTAGTACCTCTGAAACAGACGAGAATTTTGTCTACATATCTGTACCAAAATTAAATATATTTTTTACCCAGGTCGTGATTTACTAAAGTGGTCTTCAAGCTGTTCATAAATATATCTGCTAAAAGTTGACTAAGGGGTGAGCCATTGGTAAACCTGAATCCTGTTTATGAAATTTGTTGTTGAATTGGAGGTAGAACTGATTTACAAAATTCAATATAATTACGTCATTTACTACGCAAAACCTAAAAGGGATAAGTGCCATTGGTATTTGGAGCAATCTACAAGTAGTGTTTTTGGATCAATACTCAGTAATTTTGATATGTTTTGGTATCTCAGAAAAGGTATTGATGATTCAGATAACACTTTCGTTATTACAGTTACAGGTTTAATTAACCTACCTACGAATGAACAGTGTTTCAAGCTTCTGAGAAGCAGCCTTTGCAATTCCAGGGACATATGATTGTGCCAAGACATATTGGTATATCCATTTGAACCCACAACAAACTTATCGAAGAAGAAAGCGGAATTATCTTTCATGACATTATTATATCCGGCTCGGAGACATTCATCTTCTTGGAGAAAACCGATGCCTGGGTTTTTGTGGTATTGAATTGAACCTGGTTACCTTTACTGCAAAGCAACACATTGGATTCTTGGTTTTTTCCAATATGTCGTTGATATACAATAAAAAAAAGGTTGGAGACAATATGAATCCCTGGGGAACACCAACGTTGATGTTTGTACTTATAATGGGACTAGAAGTCGAATGGCCGACTGCTCTTGTACCTATTTGGTCCAACCCTTCTTCAATTATTGAGAGAATCTTTGTGTTATGAACTGCCGATATTGACGTCTTGTTTGATGTCTGAGCTCTCTTTTTTACTGTTGATAGTATTCTTATGTTAGGTAATAATAGCGTTACAGGTATGACTGCAGGATTCAATTTGAAAATTAGAATTTAATTTTGGACTTGGACTCAAAAAAAATTTATTTTATTTTATTCCATATTAGAACTATCGAAGCACGTTTCATGAGTCAACTTATCATCAGCAGAAAAAGACATAAATCAGTGACGATCATATTGCACAGTATTTTCCCTGTTCTTGTTTGTGGAGAAAGTAATTCCATTAGATTTATTTTAAGCTGGAGTTTCCAGTTTGAATTAATAATAGTAGGTTATGAATTTCAGAGAAAAAACCGGTGAAATGGGCTCGTTGAGCAGGGAAGAGAGAAGAAGACGTCGAAGAGCTACCCAAAAGTATAGAACGGCTCACGCGACCAGGGAGAGGATAAGGGTGGAAGCATTCAATGTCGCTTTCGCAGAACTCAGGAAACTACTGCCTACTCTTCCTCCAGACAAAAAGTTGTCCAAGATCGAGATTCTCAGATTGGCTATTTGTTATATCGCCTATCTCAATCATGTTTTGGATGCTTAGGTTAATACAGGGACTGAAGTCAAATGAGGTTTTTGAAATATTAGGTTGTTGCAAAAGTTTTGTCCGTTTTTATCTCAGTGAATATTAACTCAATTGAATCGCAATGAGTGCCATTTGAAAAAGTGCACTTTTGCCAACGTAACACAAGTCGATTAATACATTTCGTCGATCTCCTCACAGTAGGACTCTACCGTGATGGATTTGGCAGATAGTAATAGTGAATCACAACAGCCGCTGAGTACCATATAGTAACCAAGGTCCTTTTTTAGAGGGTTTCGCGTTTGGGAAGTACCTGGGTAACTCATCAGTGTTCAACCACTGTCTTGAACGTCTCCTGTTGTCGTAGAAGGTTCACTTCTCAACACACGTTAAGATTCCATAAAAAAAAAGGATAATTTTGGTTGCGCAAAATCAAAGAAGAACATACTCCAAAACGTCAAAACGTTTGTCGATCGTTCAAATCTTGAGACACCCACTTTTCGAGCTTTCTGACCTTTCCAAAAAGTATCAGTTACCGTATGGGACCTGATGCCCAGTTCTTTTGCCATCCTACGCACCATTTGTGATGGCTCAGTCTCCACCAGGGTCCAAAAAATCCAGGATTACTGTAGGTCGACCATTTCTGGGCTCATCTTCGAAGCTAAAGTTTCCGGAACGAAATTTCGCAAACCAACGTCTTTATTACTATAATTGTCAAATACCTGGTTAATGTTTCGCTGTTTCGGCAACGCTTCGGTTCAGTTTGAATTCCTATAAGATTGAAACTGGAAGAACTTTTGAAACAACCCAATAATAAATTAATGGCTTCTGTCGTTATGATTCGTTTATCAGAGGAATATGGAAGAAAATTTTAGAGTTCAGTCAGATTCATGCCAAAAATTTTTTGTGATATATAGATTTATAAGTTGGTAATTTTAATTAATTGTATGTAAGTAATAAAAGTTTGGAAAAGAGCTTTTTGGCTTTCTATTTCTCCGTTTTCTTACAAAAATTGTGTAGATCACACACAAATACAAACTGGAATGAAAAGTCTATCCAAAACGACTGCTCTCAAAAATATGACCATAGATTTACACAGAAATCACTCTCTCCCGTTAAGATTTTACTCCAAACCGTTATGGACTTGAGACAGTGATTCACAGTTGAACCCCACACCGTAATGTATGAAAATGAAATCGATTTGAAATTTTAAATAGAAAACTATCATTTCTAGGTGTACCTCTATAAGTTACGGGCCGAAAACACTTGTCTTCAATTCCCCATTTTCAGGTAACTTCAAAAAGTGAAACATACACTTCTTGCATAAGATAAAGCCTTTATGTCACTGGAAGAGACAATTCTGTTCTGTCAAGAAGACATGGTCTCTTCAATCTTGGGAACAAGAAATAGTCGAAGTGGGCCAAATCTGGTGAATACTGTGGCTTCGACATGGTTGTTGTGCATTATCGTGATGCGAAAGCTATGAATTGTTTTTCTACGATACCGGACTTTGTAGTGCTTCTCGCAAGCGGCGCATAATTTCAAAATAATACTCCTTATTGACCAAACGACCACGTATCGAGAACTCCCAATGCACTAGGCCACGGTAATCGGAGAAAACTTGGCGTGATTTTTATGATCTTGGCTCTTCTGGGCCTTTCCATCGGAACGATTGGTCTTTGGTTTTGATGCCATAACCATATACCTATGATTCGTCAACATTTATGATCTTTTTGAGCAAATCTGGATCGCCGATGACGTCGTTTGACAATTCCTGAGTAAGACTCGTGCAACGGCGAAATACTACACGTGCTGTGTAGCTTTCTCAAGCTATTGTATAGCGTGTTTCGATTGTTTGGGGTGCTGTAAACTGTCAAGTGAAAAGCTCGCAATAGACTGGTACTCATATATGAAATACAATAGTGAAGTTATGAATAAGCTCAATATTTATTGTCTCGAATATGTGAGTTATGGATCAAATTGTCGCTTACCCAACAAGATACGGCCCCATAAGCGACGCTTTTCTCGATAGACGCAGAAAAATACAAAGTATTATATTGATTCTCCGTTTAGTAGAAATATCCAGGAGGAAAAAGTGACTGTCAACAAAGTTCACGTTCAAGAAACATTATAATGAAGTTTCGATGGCAGTTCAATTACGTTTTTTGTATTCTTAAGATTGTAGTTAATTTCACTGTACTAATGATAACGTTCTCACTTTCTGCGCCTCTCCTCATCTCTCTCCGACTCGTTTCACAGTCTCTAGGGACACAGATTTGTGGAATAGGAAAGGACGCAGATGTTCCTAAAGCGGAGTTATATATAATTTGTCAGTTAAACAGCCGAAAGCAGAAGTGTTCGAAATTTCCATTCTATTCTAGAAGGTGATATAAATACCACTTTGCGTATTTATTGTTGATGGAACATCAGGCCCGATCATATTGAGTGTTACGAAGCTTTGAAAAGACTACATTATATATTTGTTATATCTCGAGAAAAGATCTCGAGAACCCGAGCGTAAAATCAAAATAAAACCAAAAATATAGTTCAGTCTTTCTACTACACAAAGTTTTAATTATTTCCACACTGATAATATTGTATCTATGTTTTCAAGCTAGCTATTAAACAGAATGATATATTTATAACAGACATCCAACCGTCTCTGGAGACTGTACTGAGGAGAGACACATAGTACTAGAAAATAAATATTTTAAAATAAAATCTCAAAATATTCATCTCTCCCAACTAGTACTGGTAAATGCCTGACAGAAAACTACTACTTCCCCGGCTAATACCACGCTGGATATTGAATCACATCCAACAGACACTTATGCAAGGTACCTCACAGAAGTTGGTCTCGCAGATGTTTCTTGTTCATCCAGCAACAGGACCATGCTGAAAGTATTCGAATAGAACACCTACAAACCGGTTTCGAGGTATTACCTCTCGTCAGTGCAGGAAAGATCCGACCCAAACAGCAAAGTGCCCGCAACTAGATTAATTTCAACGTAGCTCAATTGTATATATGAAACCTTCGTCTAACAGAAAGATTGCTAACTAGTAACAGCTCCATCTAGTGAATGCAGCCCCAAGAGGAGCCAATACTCTAACAGAGATCAAACTCTGACTGAAAACTGTATCGAGGAGAGATATATAGGTACTAGAAAATAAATATTTCGAAATAAAATCTTGGCTCAAAACTTCCAAGTTTTTATTAACATAACCTAACTTCCTTTCTGGGATAGAGCTTTAATCTACTTTTTATGGCTACAAATAACAATTAAATATTTATATACTTACAATATTCATCCTTCTTCTACCTACTTCTCTAGTAAACAGTTTACCAAACAGTTCAAAGGATATAGAAGAATATTTAGGCAAAACGAATAATACTGGATATTCAATGTTTTTTAGAGCAATTGATAGAAATGATGTTCTAGCCGTGATACAGACGTTGAAAAACAAGAAGACTGAAGATATATATGGAATAAGTGTCTATGTTGTTAAACAGTTTGGTCATCCTAAATGACCAAACTGAATCCATTATTAGATATGGCTTGTCTGTCTGGAGCTCGGCAGCTCAGTTTCATTCAAATGCTATATTCGTCATTCAGAAGAGGGCTGTAAGATGTATCACAGGAGCTAATTTTGAAGACTCCTTCAAACCAATCTTTAAAACGTTGAGAATAATGACACTTTACTCTCTGATAATTTTTGTAAAGTTACTATATGTCAAACAAAACATTAATAGTTACTCTGTTGTGTCCGATTTACACGGTCACAATACGAGAAATAAAGAGAATTTGATTTTACCTCAAACACGGTTACAAAGAATGGACGATACTATTGATATTAAAATGTTCAATGCCCTACCTCTTACAGTACGTTCTCTGAACTATAGTAAATTCAAAAAACATTTAAAGACATTACTTACGGAAAATCCCCAATATGGTATCAATAACTTTTTCCATTCACTCCCGGGACCATAGAGCAAAGATGCCTTTCACAATTGTATGTATGTAATGCATTATTATTTTTATTGCACTGTATCTTCTGAAGATTTTATATTTTACTTTCGGCATCTGTTAATTTGATGGTATTTTGTGACATGTTCTAAAGCTGTAGCTTTGTTATGAACCAAATAAAAAATTTGAATTTGAATTTTCTTTTGTTTATTGTGGAGTATCTCGAGACAGCTGCAACTTGACTCTCTACTTTGAGAGAAGACAGTTGTGTTACATTTTCCAATTCAAATTTTTTTCTTGATCATTGCAAAAGTTGTACGAAAGCGTAAAAGTGTCCACACTACTTTTTTTGTTGATATTTTTAGTTGGAATAATGTGAATGAGGTCAAATTTGGTCGATCAAGTTCGATTAGATTCTGAGTTTGAAGTTGGAATTTTCAAAATATGATATGGACAATTTTTCGCTCTCATAACTACGGGCACCAAGTTGCAATTGTCACGAGACACTCGTGTTTATTGTGCTTGTTGGACGGTTCCATGAATATAACAACTATTGGGCTCCGAACTGGCCTTTAAAAAGAGAAGATTGAGAATAATGTTATTGTAAAAGTATGAAATTTTGAATAACATATTATAACTGTGATATCTGGTCATTTCAATTTTTCAGGTAACTATCAATTTGTCTGAAAATCAAAGAAATTGTCAAAGAATCACATTTGTTCGGCTGTCTCTCTTCGATTTCATGAGCATAGAGGCAATATATATTTCTTCTACGGATAATGAGTGCAAACTATCATCCATATGACACGCAAACTGTTATTTGACTATTGTTTCCTTTTTCACGTGTAGAAGACAGTGATGTCATATAAAAGTATGTCTTTTATCGTGTATTGTGTCGATGATGCATGCGCATCATTTAATCCTCTCTACTGTACTTGAAGAATATCACCATTTTTCAGGCGTTGCCACATGTACTTGGATTGAATAATTACAGTGCATAATATCAACATTGAAGTTGAAATTGATTTTTCAGCCGAACTTAGTGAAACTTGACTTTGCATGATATATTTAGAATACGGCCCTAAAAACACCCCTAAACATTAGAGTGCCCCAAAGGAGTGTCTCTTCCATATGGTACTTTGAGGTTCTGTCACGGATGAGTGAGAAAGAGAAGAAGAGCAAAAAAAGAAAATCCTAACCTCACAAGAAAGGTCAAAAATATAGTTGTTAGAATACAAAATGAGAACTTGAAACCGAGTAAAATAAGGAAACAGGTACTAAAAAAGCACATTTTTGTTAGCCGTCAAATCTAATCCGTTTGAGAAGTTATACAAAATTGTAAATATGAACCAAGCAGATGTCTCCAAATTAGTCTCCCAATTGAAAACTCGATTAAATCCAAGACTAAGAAAATTCAGATGTCCTGGGGGACCTGAGGAAAGGTTGAATAAATTGAGAAAGACCGTTACGGCTCTAGTAAAACATGAAAGAATCGAACTTAACTATCCTAGAGCTGACGAATCAAGGATGTATGCTGAGAGAGTAAGTTTCGAAGAATACATTTTCAGTCGAATTCATTTACATATCCAGAATTGTGACCAAATAAAAAAGTGTCTTCAATATCTCCATCAATATATAGAAAGTGGGGAGCTTCTGAAGGGAAAAGAAACATCAATTGAAACTTCACAAAAATGTTTAGGTCACATATAGAAGTTTCTTTCAGATACAAATTAGAAGAAAAAGTCAATCTGAAACAACTATTTTTAAATATGGACAATGAACTACATGGAAATCACTTTATTTCATTCCAAACATTCCTAATGGACTTGAAACAGATATTTCACACAGAAAGGCTCATATTTTACATAGGAAGTGTTTATATAAAATTTTACTCACATGAAAAATAAATTAGTCTACAGGTGTACTTTTGAGAAGTTTTAGACAAAAAAAAAATCATATATTCATCTTCCCATCAGTATCTTTTTGTATAACTGTGAGAGACACTTCTTCACTCAACCTTCCCACAACTTTGACACTTGAAGAGATATGTGCTCGTCGCAATAACAGTCACATTCATAAAACTAGTTAAGTCATGCCCAGTTATAGGAATTGGAAAAAGTTATTTCTTTAGGATGTTCATATTTAAAAAAAGTTTTTTTGGATGGAATTCGATTTCAGTTTTCAGCTGAAAGAAATTTCTGTACGAGATCAACGTTGAATATTTCATGAATACATTTATCTAGACAGCCTTGATATATTGAAAATATATCTTTCTGCAATGTTCTTATTGATTTAAAACATAGATACTTTCAGTCTACTTTTTAAGGAGGCAGAAGCTATCCGTATACATACCCTATTTTTAATTTTTTCAGTTAATTTCTGATGCAATTCGTTATGGAGACTGTCATAGAGCAACCATGGAAATGGCAGACTACTGGTTAGTGGAAAAACAACTGGTACATAAATTATTCAAAGTTCTCGTACCACGATATGAAAATTACAATGTAGCCTTCACTAGATTGTTGAGGGCACCTAAACCGTATCCTGGTGATAAACACCTGAAGGCAGTTTTAGAGTTACGTGGAAACCCTTACCCTTCGCTGTTGCCAGATACTTATAAAAATCGAAATTTACTACACAACGTTTTATTAGATGAGGCAAAAAGGGCTTATAGAGCCGAAAAGTACAAAGAAATTGTTAGTAAAATTGATGCAAATATAAAAAAGAATGAAGATATTAAAGCCGACAGGAAGAATCAACCTGATGTCACCAAAAAGGAATCAGTAGATTCTGAAACCGTTCATGAAAACGTAGGTGAATCAATTACCGAAAAGGCAGACGATATGAAATCCAGTGAAAAAGTACTTGAAGAAACTGGCAATAAAACAAATTAGAAGCGAAACAAATCATAATATCAAACCATGCCTGAAAACTGTATTGAGCAGAAATACATATGGACTTTAAAATGAATATTTTGAAATGAAATCTCGAAATATTCCTCTCTCCCAAATACCTACACTGTAGGTTGTGGTAAATGTCTGGCCGAAAACAACTACTTCCCTGGCTAATACCATGCTTGATGAATATCCGCGTTTATGTAAGATACCTTACAGAGGTTAGTCTCGCAGATATTTCTTATTCGTTCAGCAACAGGACCATGTTGAAATTATTCAAGTAGATCACATACGGACAGAATAATTTCAGCAAGGTCATGCTGCTGGATAAACGCGAAACATCCTCGCAACTAACCTCTGTAAGGTATCTTGCATAAATATCCAATATCCAGTGTGGTATTAGCCAGGGATGTAGTTGTCTTACGGCAGGCATTCATCAGAATCCATGGTATAGGTATTTGGGAGAGATGAATATTGCGAGATCTTATTTCAAAATATATATCCATGTGAGTGATTTTGACTATAACTGCTCGGAACATTAAGTTTCAGATAAAAACGGTTCAAGTTACAAATTGTGATTTTTACTAATACGATCTGTGAAGAGTAGAATTGAAATTTTATTTCGATAATTCTTTTAGGCGGTTCTGAAGCAGGGCCTCTTGTGTTCAGCGTGTGTTAACTGCTCCATGCTAGGAATTGTATTATAAAAAGTATTACAACGTTAATCTTAGACTTCTGAGAATTACCATTTGACTAGGGTGATACTAGTTATCCCAAAAACCCATTTCACTTGCTCTGTATTCTGAAGAAAGAAAGATAGTGGTGCCAGAGATGATTTGGGCGAGGAGAGGTATATCTCATATTGAGTTTGTTAATGCACTACCAAATGCATTACTCCATTCCAAAAATTCCCTCGATGGGGATGGAATGAAAAGTATCAACAGGAATCAAAGAGTATATAATTAAGAACGAGCTTTTAGTTACAAGTATTACAAAAATATAATCATTAGTATACATCTGTTCATTTATTTTATAGGAGAATTTTGCATATCTTATTAAAACATTTTTTTCTCCAGTTACAAAGGTCGTCACATTATGTTTCAGGTAGATCTAGTGACAAACTTTTGTATTACATAAATTGTATAACGCTATATATCCATGGGTTTGATTTATTTTAAATTTTCTTTTTCTCTTTAGTGGTTGTAAACAAAAGACGAAAACGTTTTTTACTATTGATTTAATGTTCAGTTCTCTCTCTCTCTCTCTGAATTATATGGCTGTTGCTTACCAGTCGAGCGCATTTGGCCAGACTCCTCCTGTCCATAATTAACAGAAGCTTCGTCTGGGGGCGCAGCTGTCTTGCTCGAGGCCATGCTGCCATCTAAAGGTTTTTCATTCACTTTTTCTTTAATAAATCACTTCAATTTTTTACTGGTCGCCTCTTTCTCGTGAGGCTTTCCGATAAAAAATCCATCTATTAACGGACTGATGACCTCGTCGAATCCTTCGACATCCAACCTGGCTACTGGCATAGTGGGCCGTGGCTCATTGACAGCTGTCACTTCAAGTCATGGTCATGGACCAACAGTATAGATAGGTTTTTTGACCAAAAGTCAGACAATCTTGAAGACGAAAATCGTTGAAACAGAAAATTGAATGTGAAAGGGAGTGAGAGAGATATGTGAGAGTGTCAAACTCTGACTGTTCATAGTTGACGACTGTGGATTTATTTCGCCATAGGTACCATATTCTGGATCTGTTTTCATCTCTACATCACCCTCCGTTTAACACACTAGCGCCCTCACTGGTAGAAATGTTTCCCTGTAAAATACCGTGAAAGAACCAAACAATTTTCTGCTAATTTCATGGTTGAGACGAGTTCATAAATTCATTGATGAGTTCACCGATTTTTTAGACGCATTTATGTATTAGAGAAGCAAGTGTATATTTGTTGGATAACCACACTAAAAATTTTCTGTTCAATTCAAGAACTCGCCTCTACCCACAAAACTCATAATCCTATTTTGGATAAAATATAATTACAGCAGAATAATAATACAATTATTACTATGATATAATTATGAGTGCCTAACCTTGTTCCTTCAGTTCTTAGATTCATCAGGAGATTTTCCACTACTAAATATACCTGACAACCCTGCATTAAAAATTGGTGGGGATCAGCTGACAATCTAAACATTAGACATCTTTGACTGCATTTTCTTGCGGTTCATCATAAATGACCAATTAAATTTTAGTATGACAGAAACATAATAAGTGGGTGTTTCCTATAATTTCTTGATTTTGGGGAGTTTTTCTTATTGTCAGTTATAGTTTTAGATACTTTTTATTTCTGTTATTTTAACTTCTGTGACGTCATGTGATTGCGTTTTCATGGAGTGCTACATACTAAAGGTAAATTCTTCAAATTTTTCGCATATTCAATAAGAAATCATTACTTTTGTTGCTTGATAATGCTGAAACGACTATTTAACCAATTGATTTAAGTAATGGTTTAATAGAAATCCGCTGTTTTATGTAAATATTTGACTATTTCCATGTTGAACTTAATAGCAGATTTGTCCTTGAACGAATATGTGTTAAAATTATACATTTTCAATTATCTTCATTACATTCTCAATGCATCTATCAATGAAGAATTGTAATGATATTTTCAGAGCTGTATCTGTATATGGAATGCTTAACATCTGTTCAGAATTTTATTGAGAAAGTGACAAGTAGGACACCATTTATTTCCCAATATTGAAAATATGCGTTTTTCTCTATCCTGACATGACATTGACACCAGTTAATTATTCAGATTAAGTGGGGATCTTACCTATCAAATTAAATAGTTTTTAGGTAGGTACCTAGTCGCCATATTTCAATAGTTCCCATTAACTTATACACTTGTGTTTAATTACAGGAAAATTGTTTACAATTTGTTGATGATACCAATGACTGAAACGTGTTTTGATCATGAATAAATAAAAGCTGAATTATTCATGTTCGCCTTGTTTGTTATTAGGTCTTGTTTAAATTCTGATTTCTGATAGTCACTACCTATAAACTTATGTATAGTCCCAGACCTTTCCTAAACTGTTGATTAATTTTAGGTATGAATCATATAAACTATTTTGGTGGGCCATTGGCCATTTCAGTCTAAAAATAGTATGTTTGAGTGTGGCAACTTTTGTTTTTGTTTATATATTCTGGCTGTGGTGGAGTTTCACAATAACAGAAAATATAAACCATAGACCACAAATATGGCCTCTGTATCTACACTTTCCGGAAATTGATGCCTTCATTCACAGGTCAAATTCAATAAGTTAAATTTAGAGTGACAAATTTTCAACTAACAAGTTGAATACTTGAACATGTATGACGTTACCCATGTATATTTCTATTCAGTTTTTTGATAAAAACAATGTTATAATTGGTCACTTTGAAATATACACATTTCTAGTTTTATAATTTTAGTAAGAAACTGTTGTATATAATTTATGTTCTGGCAAAAGTTGTTCTTCTCTGTGATTAATAACTTCCACTATTGATTTTCCAGAAAGCTGGTTCAATATGAACATAAATGGTAAAAGAAATGAATGCTCTTTTTGTGTATAATTTCATAAATTCAAAAGAATGAATGAATCCCAGTCTGATGTGATTCTGGAAAATTATAAACATCGTTACCTTTTCAATTATTTTTTATAAAGGCATTGGATCATCTAAAAGTTTTACATAAGTATTCTGTAATCATCGTTTTTTAAAATATATTCATTCTGTCAAAACATACCTTATAATGGTAACCACCGTAAGTTACGAGGTCTATTCAAAAAATGAGCTCTCTCGGCGATTCGGTTTTTATAATAATAATAATAATAATAACCGTCTTAATTGTTTCCCAGCTGTAGTTACATACAAATATTTAAATAAATTACAGAGCTAGTTGCTGATATAACAAAAGGCGAAGTTCAACTCAGCAGAAGTGCTACTGAGTTGTTCTTCCTCCTTAATCGTCGCAAAACACCGTCCTTTCATGGGTATCTTCAATCTTGGAAACAGGAAAAAGTCGCAGGGGGGCAAATCTGGGGAATTCGGTGGCTGAGGCATGATTACGGTGTTGTTTCGGCCAAAAAAATTACGAACAAGCAATAACGTGATGCGAAAGCCATGAATTGTTTTTCCACAATACCGGACATTTTCTTCGCATTGCTTCTCGCAAGCGGCGCATTACATCAAGATAATAATCCTTGTTGACCGTACGCTCATGTGGCATGAACTCTTGATGCATTACGCTACGGTAATCGAAAAAAATAGTGATTGAACTTGGCGTGCTTTTTTGATATTGGCTCTCCTGGGCTCTTCCATTACTGAGATTGGACTTTGGTTTCGATGTCATAACCACATACCTATGATTCTTTACTAGTTATAACCCTTTCAAGCAAATCTGGATGTGATCCGACAATTCTCCATAACAATTTTCCTCACTTTCTCAACATTTTCATTGGTTGTTCACAACTTCTCAACTTAGAATGCCACCAGTATGAAACCGATCGACAACGATATAACTTACTGGATAATATCAGAACTTGCCTCGGTACCAAAGCTATAAGAAATGTTTTGAACTTTCTGAAAGCAACAGACCTTTTTAACAAAATATAAACAGATATCGTATACTACAAAATGGCTAATGACCCCAGCAGTCGATGCCAGAATAATAATTAAAAAAAAACATCCGAAACGAACACTATAATTGTAATGAAAATTGAAATGAAGTAATTTATATACACAAAAATATTAATGGGCCAATAAATGTTCGAATTGGAGTCCTACCATTTCGAGACAGATACTGGGCCAATATAATGGCCTGCAAGATTTACAGATCTTACTATTTTGAACTATTTTCTATGGGGGACATTGAAAAATAGGATTTTCGCTGGCAGAGAGATAGAAAATGTGGAAGACTCGAGATTGAGGATTTTGAATGATTTCGCAACAATGCAGCAAATAAGTGTGTTAAGGGCAATAAATAATTTGAAAAACCGAGTTCAAAAATGTCTTGAAATGGAAGGACTCCAATTCCAACATTTATTGCGTCATTAATTTTTTTGTGTATATAAATTACTTCATTTCAATTTTCTTTACAATTATAGTGTTCGTTTCGGATGTTATTATTGCTATCATTTCTCTTTCTGCTTACTGAAACACATATAATATATTTTTGATGTAGATATGTTTCAGATAATCATAAAAGGTTTTCCTATTCGAAGTTCATTGTGGAAAACGCTCAGAGCAATAAAAAATATGAATAGGTACCTAAAAATGAAAAAAAAATCTCGAAAAACTCTACGGTACATAGGGAGACGTGAAAGTTGCAATTTTTTTTATTCAACTCAGTCAACCAAATTCCAGGTCTGTAATTCAAAAGGAAATAATTCTCACAATTCTAATCAAATATTACCCAAACATCCCGAAATATAAAATTTAATTTAATTTCTCAGTATGAAGCGAACGTCGACGATATAAAAAATACAACGAAAAATACAGGTCCGTATTTAAAAACTCAAAGATGGGGGAGGCCCAAGTCAGATGACACCCTGTATAAAAAATTCATGGACATATTCCGAAAGCCTACATCAAGTGCCAATAGCAAAATGTGGACAGATTTTCAATATGTCTGCGAACAAAGAAGATATAGGCAAAAACATAATTTGGGATTTTTTGGTTTTTCCTGTATATCTCTAGAACCAAAAGAGTTATATTCGATTTTTTTACATCTTCGAATAGGTCTCTAAGATACGCAACTTTGCCACAATTTAACCGACACTCTATCTCTTATCGTTTACGAGATCTCCATGTACAGAAACGAATTTAAATAGCCCTGTAAAAATTAATTCGTGCCATACGACGAATAAAATTGTTAACGTTTTCTGTTGCGAATTTTACCCATTTTATAGATATTATTTATTCATAACCATTTATTTTCATAATAACTCATACATTAACCATGTGCATAGGAAATTGGAACACCAATACATTGTTTATTTACATTCAACAAATCCTTTGTTTTACATTCGACAATGTTTCTTCACTTTGGTGGTAATCTGAATTCCAATATTTTGAAAATATCTGAAACATGTTTGATATGACGGCAGGTACATTCACCTAAAAATATTGAATTAGTGTATTCGATTTTAACTCCTTTGTCAACTAATGAGCAAGTTTATCTAAACAGATAGATAAAACATATTTCTGTGATTACAAACTAGCACTATATGAGTTTATTCAAGGAAACATCGTTTGGAATGTTTTTCTCGGAAGCAATTTAATATTAAATTCCGAAATAGATAAATTGAGTTAATCACTTGGACGTTATTGAGTGTGAAATATATTTTGTTTATTGATATTGGTTAAGGGAATTGTAAGTATAGTGTACTTTATCAGTTTATATGCATATACAGTGCTTTTCTTTAATGTCCCCCCCCTTTTATTTTTTGAAATTTGGGATAATGAAATCAATGCATGAATACTTTATTTTGAAGTGAAATTGACAGGTGAAATTTTCAAGATGGCGACTGGGTGCCATCTGAGAAAAAAATTAAATGGAAAGGGAAGTCTTTTTGAAGCACCTGTCAAATGCTTCACAACCCTAGAATATAATGTTAATATCTTCAACTACTACAAAATGGCGGAACTTTTAATAATTGCCTGAATACATTCACATTTAACTACATAATATGAGGTAACAAGCTTGAGGTCAGTTCAGAAGATGCTCGAAATGGTTGCCTTGAACTTCTTGACATATGAACAGCCTAACCGATATTTCACGCCGAACATTTTCGAACACAGTAACGTCAATATCTCTACAGATATTTAATATTCTTTGCCGTACATCCAATATTGAAGCAGGTTCAGTTTCGTACACCTTTTGCTTCAAATAGCCCTATAAAAAAAGTCTAAACGTGTCAAATCTGGCGAGCGGGCTGGGCATTCCAACGACCAATCCAACGACCGGGAAAAGTAGTATCCAAATAGTTTCTTACTTGTCTGGAGTAATGTGGTGGTACTCCATCTTGTTGGAATACAATATTCATATCGAATTCATCAGGATTCGCTTCGACGGTTTCAACAGTAGTTTCCAGCACATTCAAATACAGTTCCTCTGTTAAATTTTGATCAATAAATAGAGGTCCTACAAAATGGCTCCCTGAAGTAAATGCCCAAACGTTGATTTTTTCTGAATATTGGGTATGTGTTTCCCGGAAAACGTGAGGGTTGCTGTCACTTGCAATGGTTTCCGTCATGATTTCGCAGAATTATGTTCTTCGATCAGGGTCATCTTCAATTAATTGGTGTACCATTTTAATTTTGTATGGCTGATACGTATTCCTCTTCAAAAGTCTCTACACAGTAGAAGGAGACACCTCACAAACATTCGCGACGGAATAAGTAGACTGTTCAGGATTTACTACCATCTCACCAATCATTTGCACTTGCTGTTCTTCCGGAATGGACGGATACCTGGGGGGCTTTTTGTTATGTACACTACCAGTAGTTGTGAATTTGGATAGAAGTTCCCTCAAATATTTTCTACAGATAGGACGATTCGGGAAACGTTCATTGAAAATCCTTTCGGTCTCGTGAAAGTTACGCGTCGCACCGTAAATGAAAATCGCTTCAATTTTTTCTTCCAATGGACGAGAATTGACAATTTTAGAGATTGTTGACGTGGTACCTTTCTACTAGTAAAACTGAAAACTATATAAGAATATTCTAACTGAACAATGATGTTCATTGTCGTACTGACATTTTTTGTCGTTTTTATAAACAAAAAATAACCTAACAAACCTTATCGGGTTGTGTATATGGCAGATAGAAAGAGATATTTTTAGAAATATAGATATTAATGTTTTGTCTTCAGGAAATTATTAAATGTTCCGCCATTTTGTAGTAGGTGAAGATATTGACTTCATATTCTAGTATTCGTCAGGAGCTTCAAACTGATGTGTCACAAGATCCCCCTTTCCATTAAATTTTTTTGGCGCCCATTCGCCAGATGGCGCCCATTCGCCATCTTGAAAGTTTCATCTTTCAATTTCACTTCAGAATAATTTCATTATCCCAAATTTCAATTTTTTGAGTTGACCCGTTCAAAAAATAAAAGGGGGGGCATTAAAGAAATGCACTGTAGAGCTTTTAGTGAATTGAATTTTTCAACTATGAAAAAAAAAATACGAATTTATGCATCGATATGTGACATTGGATGAAACATGGCTCCACGAATCAATGAAAAGGATGGCACAATGACATGAATTAGGCTTTGAATTGCTTTCGTATCAACCGTATTCTCCAAATCTGGCCCCCAGCGACTTTTTCCTTTTTTTCAGACCTCAAGATAATGCCCGCTGGAAAGAAATTTAGCTCCGATGAAGAAGTCATCGACAAAACAGGCCTATTTTGATGCTAAAAACAAGCCGTGCTATAAAAATGGTGTCGAAAAATTGTATGACCGCTATAATCGTCTCCGAAGGCAATCATATTGAATAATAAAATCAAATATTTGGGCTACGAATTTTTCAGCTAACTGATCTGTTCTTTGGTCTAATCCAATGAGTTTTTCAATGAAAAAAGACAATTGTTATTGATCTTGAATGTCACTGTATATGAGTAGAGATAATAAGCGGAGATTTGTGGATTCCTAAGAATTACAGACCAATTACATGCTTGAATTCGTGTTATAAGTTGTGTCTTATACACACGAATACTCACCGCAGTTGACCGAGTGCTTGAACGGATATATGAGCAGGAATGGTCTAAGAGAGGGCTCGCTGAATGTAAAGAGAACCTACTCGTCGATAGATGTGTAACGCAGGACTCGATACAATATTAGCGTAACCTCTCTATGGCCTGGATTGATTACCGTAGGGCATTTGATACAATATCGCATGAGCTCATCTTGCATTTGCTCAGATGCCTTGCGGTACCCGACAAAATAGTGAGATGCATTGAACAATTGATACCACTCTGGCGAACTCGCTTCGCCATAACATCTGGTTATCTGGTCCAAACAGGGTGGGTCACTTTCAGAAAGGGGCGTATTTCAGGGCGATTCCATCAGTCCCCTTCTCTTCTTCATCTCACTATTGCAATTTCCAATGGCGCTCAGAAATACTCGAGGGTACAACTGTGTTTTATATGAATGATCTTAAACTTTAGTCCTCTGGAGAGAAGTATCTCCATCAGTCCTTGAGGGTGGTGGAAGAATACACGCATGCTATCGGTATGAAATTCGGGAAGAGGTAACGACAGTGAAGAACTCTCTCCGCGGCAAGTATCAGCACAAACTTCGACATATCTGGTCATCAGAACTGTCGGAGAAGTTACTGCAAAAAATATGCTTGCCGTTCCAATCTTACTCTACTCGTTTGGAGTAGTGAAGTGGACTAGGGAAGAGTTTTGTAAACTCAACGTAAGGACCCGAAAATTGATGCATCTCTAAAGGAGTTTGCATCCCAAATCGTCCATTCCACGGTTGTACTTCCCTCGACAACAAGGAAGCCGTGGACTTTTGAGTTTGGAGTGTCTACATGACAGAATGGTACTGGATATAGCCTGTAAAGTCGTCAAGAGTTCGGATCCCTTTCTCTGCATGGTCCGTGACCATGAGAGCAGGAATTGGAGCCTTTCTCTTTAGGACAGCTGCCCGAGCAGCTGATGAACTCAGGCACTGAACGAGGTGACCACAACTCTGTCAACGAGTTGGAACCTGTTCAGCAAAAAGCTCAGATAAAAGGCGCAGAGATCACCTTTCTTCTGCGGAGACACAAGGATAAGCCAATGCATGGGGTCTTTAATAACATTGGAGACCTTGGCTTATCAAAATACCTGACTTTCGCTTTCCTCAGGTCGAGTGGGCTGAAGTCGGAAACTGAAGGGTTCATCATGGCTTGTCAGGATGGTGTCTTCAACACCATAGTCTACCGCAGTCGCGTGATGGGTACAGAGGTTCCTGACACAAGGTGCAGGGCCTGCCGCGAGGCGCCCGAGACCCTAATGAACTTACTATCAGCATGTCCAGCATATGCGGTCTCGGCCTATATCCATCGACATAACGCAGCCCTAAGAGTACTATATTACCATCTACGGCACTCTTAAGGTATTGACGAGACACCGGTGTTGCACTCGGGGGATTATTGAATTCGTTGTGGGGAATAAGAAGTGCCAAATTTATTGAAACTATTCGTTCCCCAACCTCAGGCTCTTACAAGCTAATAAGCCTGATGTAGTCCTTCTTGACCACCAGAGCAAAAAGATATTTGTCGTGGAGTTTTCAGCTCCTTGCGAGACGAATATCGTCAGAAAAGGGAAGGAAAAACGGATAAAATATCAGGATTTTCTCTTCGAACTCCGCAGAATCTATCCAGACCACTCGGTCAAGATGGTTGTTCTGATTATTGATTATCTTAACATCATACCGGCTTGCCGCACTAAGGCAGAAATCATAGCCGCACAGATGCAGAAGGCTGCCATTCGTGGCTCACTGCTCTTGCTCATGGCGCATGATTCTCTGGCCCAATGATCACTTACCCCACGGTGTGGGGGAGTGGTCATTGGTTGATAATTCTGGCGCGCCCTTCCGAATGTATCGGAGCTTTGGGGGATATGGCCTGGTCAGCGCAAAACTACGGTGGAAAAAATTGATAATAACTTTTGTAATTTACTCAAATGTATTTCCTTCAGTTTCAACAGAAATCGACAATTCTATGGACAATTCTAAATCGAACGATTAATGATTTTTATTTTTTTTCCTTCAACTGGGCAATAACAAAGTTGATTATATATAAAAAATCGGTGTATAGATGCATACAAATATTGATACATTTCTCTTGTTTCAGAATTCATGTCCAGAATTTCGCAGCGTACTTTCTAACGATCAAAGATGAATTTCCTTTCTTTCCAAAATAACCAGAACATTTTCCCCAAAACCCACACCTCGTTTCTGTTACCCGATTCACACACAAAAACCGCATTTAGCGATAACAAACAAACACAAATCGTCGAAAACAACAACCAGATAACCAACAACAATCAACTAAGTCCAAATGGACACGAAAAAACGTTGAAGGAACTGTGGTCGAAACACAAATTGAACATGAATAAGTCCAAACCGGAAACTCCCTTAAACTTGAACAACGTCAAAATGACGTGGGAGGTGGACGAACCAGCCTCAGTGTCCGATGAACCCAAAGACAGTGTCATCGAGAGTCCTCTGCAGGAGATCAAGGAAACACCAGCAGTGGTCAAAGAAGAGGAACACATCAGTAAGGAGGAGTCTCCCTCTCACCATGCCCGAAGACCTCCAAATGCCTTTTTGATATTTTGTAAGAAACATCGACCTATTGTCCGCGATAGGTTCCCCAATTTGGAGAACAGGGGGGTCACGAAGATTCTGGGGGAATGGTGGGCATTGCTGAACTGCTTCGAGAAGCAGCCTTATAACGATTTGGCCAAAGAGGTAAGTCACTGTTTTTGTCGCTTTGTAAGTATGAAGGGAATTGTATTTTGTTACAAGAGTATACATAAAAAAGCAGCTTCCGGTGGTTAGTATTAGGTTGTTTCAAAAGTTTCGACCTACAGTAATCCAGGACGAGGATTTGAAGACCCTGGTGGAGTAGTAGTAAATCAGATCTTTAGCTAGCATCTTTACTGACTACCATCTTTTCAAGCACTACGATAATTTTCTCATCGATGGAACTGGGCGTCAGCTCCCATGCGGTTTTTGATGGTTCAAAACGTATTGGAACATTCAGGTCACTAAACATGGCCAGGCGAAAACGGAATTCACCGACTGCATCGAATCCCAAGCACACAATTTTCATGGTGACGGAATTAAATCGACTTGTGACACGATGTCAAAAGTGCACTGACTCAAATGGCGCTTATTTCGATTAAATTTAATGAGTATTTACTGAGATATTACAGTATAAAATAGATTCTTGAAAACGGATTAATATATTCACAACGGTAGACTCCCTTGTAGTGGTGAATCGAATAAACCCGCTCACTTCAGGTCCCAACCTGACCTTACCCTTGTCAAGGTGGTGCTATAGGTTTTTTCCTCTCATCTCATGCAGTCAATTTTAATCAACGTGATTTTTATTAAAGATTCATTTTTCTATTATCGTCTTAAAATCTAACAGAATATCCACTAATTTGAAAGCAAACCCTGTAGCTTCCACTGCAAAATTATTATCATAAATGGCAGTGCTGCTCATAAAGTTCGAACATTCGGAGTCAACGGCTGGGAAAACTGTCATATTGCACATCCAGTGATTAGGAAAATAGCCAGTAATAATGTATGTTAAAAATTTCCAATATTGATTACATGAACTGTATTGAGAGTCAGACACAAGTCAAATTAATAGGTATCTTGATAGTTGTTGTTTCACAAACAACACACTTGATTTCTTTCACTGCTATCTATCCAACAGAGTACAGTTCGTACAGTTTAACAACGTATCTTTCTTCAAATTCACCGCTACTTCGGGAGTTCCGCAGGGCTCGATTTTGGGACCTCTCCTTTTCGTGTTATTTGTTAATGACATTTCTCGGTATATCGGGTATTCCCAATTTCTCCTATATGCCGATGATCTCAAGCTATTTAGAAGAATTAAAAGTGAAAAAGATTCTGATATGCTTCAAGATGATCTCAATAATCTATCTACTTACTTTTCAGTATGTGACCTATCTCTCAACGAAGCTAAATGCAAAATAATGAGTTTCACACGAAAGAAGTCAGCTACTATCAAGGACTATTTCATTAATCATACCAATTTACAGAGAATCAATGAGAGGAAAGATCTCGGGATCATTTTTACTTGTGTGTCAGAATAAAAATTGTGTGTTAGGGTTTTGATGAAGTCGAAGAAGGCCGTTTTTGCCTGGTCATGATTGGTTCTACCGATGAGAAATTTATCGAAGTGCTTTAAAAGATGGTACTCGATTGGCAAGAGGTCTGGGGAGTATGGTGGATGAGGCAGAACTTCGACGCTCAGTTCGTTTAATTTTCGAACGGTGATTTGTGAAACATGAGGTCGGGCGTTGACGTGTAGCAGGATCGGACCTCTTCTATTGGCCAGTGTCAGCTGTTGCTGACGCAATTTTTGGTACATTTCGTCGATTTCCTCACAATAGGACTCTGCTGTCATAGTTTGGCCGGAATGTAGAAAGTTACAGTGAATCACAGCAGCCGCTAACCACCACACAGTAACCATGGTCATATTTTGGTGTGTTTTCGCCTTTGGGCAGTGCGTGGGTGGCTCATCGGTGCCCAACCACGGTCTTCAACGTCTCCTGTTGTCGTAGAGGTTCCACTCTTCATCAAACATGACGATAGATCCAAAAAAGGATCGTTTTGGTTGCGCAAAAGAGAAGAAGAACAGAGCTTGAAACGTGGCAATTTCTGTCCATCGTTCAAATCTTGGGGCATCCACTTTTCGAGCTTCTTGACCTTTCCATTCGTTTTGAACCATCAAAAACCGCATGGGAGCTAACGCCTAGCTCTTCCGCCATCCCATAATCCGTTTGTGATGTTTCAGTCTCCACCAGGGTTCTCAAGACCTTTTCTAGGGTTACTATAGGTCTATCACTTCGGGGCCAATTTTCGGGGCTAAAATCGATCACTTCGGGGCCCATTTTTGAGGCTCAAATCTCCGAAACTGAATTTTACGAACTATTGCTCACTTGATTTTTCGAGCTATTTGGCAACGCGTTGGTTCTATTTGATTTCGTAGGAAAAAAAATGACCTAAAATCGCAGCATCAATGTATAGAGTACGAAATTCTTCATCGATCAGTATAAACAACGACATAGAAAAATCTTGGGACATCCACTTTTCGAGCTTCATGACCTTTCCAATACATTTTGAACCATCAAAAACCGCATGGGAGCTGACGCCCAGTTTTCCCGTCATCCCATAATGCGTTCGTGATGTTTCAGTCTCCACCATGGTCCTCAAGTCCTTGTCCAGGATTACTATAGGTCGTTCACTTCGGGGCCCATTTTCGAGGCTAAAATCGATCACTTCGGGGCTTATTTTTGAGGCTCAAATATCCGAAACTGAATTTTGCGAACTAATGCTCAGTTAATTTTTCGTGCGTTGGTTCGATTTGATTTCGTAGAAAAAAATGACCTTAAATCGCAGCATCAATGTATAGAGTACGACATTCTTCACCGATTAGTATAAATCACGACATAGTAAAATCTTGGGGCATCCACTTTTCGAGCTTCTTGAACTTTCCGATACGTTTTGAACCATCAAAAACTGCATGGGAGCTAACGCCCAGTTCTTCCGCCATCCCATAATCCATTTGTGATGTTTCAGTCTTCACCAGGGTCCTCAGTCCCTGTCCAGGATTACTGTAGTTCGACCACTTCGGGGCTCGTCTTCGAGGACACTATCATTGGCAAATACCTGGTTAATTTCTCGGGCTGTTTCGGCGGCGCTTTGGTTCAATTTAAATTCGTATAGGAATATTAGCCGAAAATCGCTGAAAAAAAGTAAAAAATCAAAATTTGAAAGAAAAAGACCAGAACCGACGTACAAAATTCTCTATCGATCAGTATAAGAGTAAAATAAATATTCATATAGATATGGAGCTACAAATACACACATTTAAATAATAATAATAATAAATGGTACTGGATACAGCCTGTGAAGTCGTCAGGAGGTCCGATCCCCTTCTTTGCATGGTCCGTGACCATGAGGGAGCAGGAATTGGAGCATTTCCCTCTAGGGCAGCTGCCCGAGCAGCTGATGAACTCGGTATAGTTTTCGACACTGAACGAGGTGACACCAACTCTGTCACCGAGTTGGAACCTGTTCAGCAAAAAGCTCAGATAAAAGCCGCAGAGATCACCTTACTTATGCGGAAACACAAGGATAAGCCAATGCATGGGTTCTTCTTCAAAAACATTGGAGGCCTTTGCTTATCAAAGCGCCTGACGTTCGCTTCTCTCAGGTCGAGTGGGCTGAAGTCGGAAACTGAAGGGTTCATCATGGCTTGTCAGGATGGTGTCTTCAACACCTTAGTCTACCGCAGTCGCAGATGGGTGCACAAGGTGCAGGGCCTGCCGCGAGGCGCCCGAGACCCTGATGCACTTGCTATCAGCATATCCAGCATTTGCGGTCTCGGCCTATATCCATCGACATAACGATATTACCATCTACAACACTCTTACGGTATTGACGAGACACCGGTGTTGCCCTACACTCCGGGGAATATTGAATCCGTTGTGGAGAACGAGAAGTACCGAATTTATTGGAGCTATTCGTTCCCCACTTTCGGGCCCATACAAGCTAATAAGCCTGATGTAGTCCTTCTTGACCAAGAGAGCAAAACGATATTTGTCATGGAGTTTTCAGCTCCTGGTGAGACAAAAATCGTCAGAAAAGAGGAGGAAAAAAGGGATAAAATATCGAGATTTTCTTTACGAACTCCGCAGACTCTATCCAGATCACTCTGTCAAGATGGTTGTTCTGATTATTGATATTGATAAAATCATACCGGCTTGCCGCACTAAGGCAGACATCTTAGCCGCACAAATGCAAATGCACTGCGCTTGCTCAGGGCACATGATTCTCGGACCCAATGATCACTTACCTCACGCTGTGGGTAGTGGTCATTGGTTGATAATGCTGGCGCGCCCTCCCGAATGTATCGGGGTTTCGGGGGATAGGGCCTGACCAGCGCACACTACGGTGAAAATAATAATGATAATAAGATCATATTCAAATGCATGTTTAACAAGAATGATGAATGGGGGTTCAGCTGTTGAAGTTGCTTTTAAACCCAACCATGGACGTACCGTACACACTTAATCTATAAGATCACAAAAATATAAAAGATACATGGAGTAGGTGGAAAAAATAATAATAATAATAAAGATTAATAAGTAAAATGGATAAATAATTGAATAATTTCATATCGTTCGAATTGAAGCCTGTTTGTACATGTGCCAAAAATCATTGCAAGAGTCATCAGATAGTAAAGACATCATTACCTTGTTCGTAGGACGACTTTCAAACGTTTTTTGAAATTTCTCAAACCGAGGTCTTTGAGTTCATGGGGTAACCTCTTATATTGTATGAAAAACTACGTGTGTATAATGCGGTTTTGTGTTTCGGAATGAGCAGTAGATATTTACTACGCAAATCATTCTTTCGCGACAAAAAAAAACACTTTTTTCCGCAAATATAATGGTGTTTCTGATTGCAAAATTTTATGGGTTTAAACGGGCAAAACTTTTGAAGCGATCTAATAGAAATCATCAGAGCTGAAATTGTTGAAGGATAATCGTCTCAGTTTTAGTTGAATTTGAGAGGGTACTACTAACAAAGACAAAAAAGGAGGTAGACAACCTCACCTACACAATATTGACCATCGATGCCGAATATTTTCGCCGTTTGTTTTTGCAATTTGCATTGTTGGAAACGTGACATTCACGCTTCTGTTGCTAGACATAATAAAAAGTTGTGAAATAACATTTGCTTCCATTGAATTATTTGTTTGCTGTTTGTATCTCGTCCAACATGTTCTGATCACTTAGTAAAACTATCGAGTGACCTCGGAATTGCAGCAGGTTTTCTTGTTGCCAATACACACAGATCGAGAGAGCGCAGCTAAAAATAAAAATTTCCTAGACAATTGGGAATATATTCATTTGTAAATGAATGTCGGTGACCGAGTGGACATCCGTTTTCAAAATGTTGCCAACCGAAATTAGGCAAATTTTTTCTATAACCGACAGCATTTTCATTACACAGTGTGAAAAAGCCAAATGGAATAAATTCATTATTCTGGTTATCGTACTTTTTTAAAAAAATCCCGAAGCACGTCAAATGTAAATGTAAATCATTGTTGAATAATTGGTGAGATATTTCGCACTGTTGTCCCTAAGATGATATTAGAGATTGAGGTGAGACCACTTCTGTCTCACGAAGCCACTGCTTGGTCTTTTCTTCTTCTTCTTCGTGAAACCTCCAAACTCATATGATACAACAATAGCAGCTGCAATCATTGCTGGAATGAAACTGGTGAGATCCCAACTAGCAATTTTATATTTTATAATGGTTGTGAAAACGTTTTGGAGAAACAAATTATAAAACTGTATTTCTCCCAGAAATGTTTTCAATATGTTTATAAAACAGCTATAAATAGGAAATTGGCACCGTTTTATAAAACATTATAGTCTTTAATAATATTTTGTAACGCATTTTGCAAACACTACAAAACAGTTTTATAAACATTTCCGCAGTCACTATAAAATTTTTCTAACACTCTTGAAAAACAGTTTCGTAAAGAATCTTATAAAATAATTGAAATACAATTTTATAAAAGTTTTTTTAATAATTCCAAGTAAGGGTTATAAAATATAATGCAGGCGCAAGAAGTGATTTTGTATTGGACACTAGAAAAATATAGATATGTCACCAACTGAAAAGTTGGGGCCATTTTAATAACTTCACTTTTGTACGTATAAAACCGGTGAAGACATTGTTTGTGCTTCAAAGATTGATATTTTAACTGCGAATGAAATTTTATTGACAAATATATTGCTTATTATTAGTAAAATTAAGGCGCGCCACTCTTTTGTTAAAATTTTTGGAAAAAATTATCAATTATACAAAAATTCACTCTGTTGACGTATTCATTTTTTAGTTGCAAATCAACTACTTTTATTGCCTACAACTGTGTTATATTCACGGCTCGTCTAATATAATCAATTAGCATTTTGGAAGTAATTATAAAATACCAACAAAATAAAACTGTTGTAGCACCATGAAATTATAAAACAATTTTGCTGGTTGGGATGGCGAACCGTTGTTCACATTCCCCTCTACTGTGTGTAGGGAGTGACGAACCAAGGTCGCCGAACCTAGAACAGCAACCAGGTGTCCATAGGTTTGTTCTGGTTCTATGAAATTCTGGTTCCAGGACGTTAGGATCATGCGAAGTTGATATAGAGCGTTCTGGTTTATTGAGGACAAGTTCGGATTGATGAATCCTCTGTTCTGGTTTCGACTACGAAATGATCCTAAACTGTCTTTAACCGTCCCGAATCGTTCTTGCTCTCGAGGCTGAACTGTTGAGAACTGTTCCCGTTGCTCATGCGCATTCATGTGGAAATTTGTTTGGGATACTTTCTAGAAGGTTTTTTTTAATTATTTGATTTGAATAATTGATGATTGGGGTTAGGTAACATTTGAACTGACTACAAAGATACGCTACATAATAAAAAGGACTTGATCAACAGTATTTTCTAGTCTACATCTCTTCATATATATAATAGGTGGCACAGTGGTCTCCTCAAAATGCGTTCTGGTTTAACCAAGTGTCCGAGACTATTTCGGACTGTTTGAGATTTTTTTGTACGCATCATGTTTTGCGCAGTTTCCAAACAGTTTATGATGTAAGAACCAGAACAAACCTCATGTTTGTAGGCCGCTTATGGCAGGCAATGGGCTGGCACATGCCAGGACGAGAACGGGACGGGCCAGGCAGATGCCGTGCTGTCTAAGCTCGAAAGCCACGTTCCGTCATGTTCTCGTCCTGTGCCGTTCTGTCGCAGTTTGTGTTAGACTTACCTGGTTTGGGAATATCTGAATGTGTGGGTCACACACCCTACAGTGTAAACAGTATGCCCAGTACACCGTTGAAATTCATTTCGGAATGGATCTGAACGTTTTATTTCAAGTATGCCTTTGTGGTGTGAAATGTATTGTTTGTTTACTTTATATTTGAAGGTCATCTGACTCTATCTGTCTCGTTGAATAGGGAATGTTCCTCCTGACGAAAATCAAGTAGTTTTCATAAAAGAGCTCTAAAACAACGCATTTTAAACTTATCATTTCAACCTTTTTCTTTAAAAAATTATTTGAATACTTAAAAAAGAGGAATTTAATAATGCATTCAACATTTAAGGGGATTCGTTTCTATTTCACCATTTGGCAACATCGGTTATAGCTAATAAAGGACAATGAATCTGTTACCTGTATGAGACAAACAAAGATGATATATTTCAGAGGCCTGCTGTTCTGTTTACTTATGTTCCGAATTCCGAGACATTCTGGAGCATATGACATTTTGTGCACCTAACCTATCTTCCTCTATATAAATAAATAACAACACAACTGTTGTTTATGTGGCTTGTGGAGGTGGTATTGAACTATAATTTATATTTTGCCTTAATTGTGGATTTATAAAGATAATTTTCCTTTTTCAAAGTAGAATATCTAGGTACGTATAAATTATTTCAACTTGATGTAGGCGCTGTTGCCAATATGTGAACTAGAAACAAATCCATTTAAAAAATGAAAACCCAACATTTGAAACATCAATTTGAATACTTTTGGAAGTGAATTTGAAAAATTCATGAATTAAACTCAACTTTATTTTGTTCAAACATGCATTTGCTGTAATAACCCAAATTGAGGAACATTCCCCATTTCAGCACAGTGACTGGTTTTTTGTGTATCTCAGAGACAAAATGAAATTGTACTAGTGCGGTACTAGTTCGAAACTGAGGTATGGGGTAAAAGGCGCGACCTCGTTTTTGTATAATCACATATGGTCATTAATGTAAGGTGAATTTCCAGATGAAATTTGTAGACATCATTATGCTTTGACTTACAACACTTTGATGAAAGAACTACACTTCTCAATTCAAAAACTCTCTAATTTTCAGTACAAAGACGCCTTTCTTTCCGCTAATCCCGACTTCAGATGGTACAAACTGCCAGCACCACCTCTTCGCACATTGTCAACACGTCCGTTGATTATCCCCAAATTGCAACTACCCTTATCTAGTCCTTCCAACGTTATCCCGTCCGAGTTCACTCCCGGAAAATTGGCGGACGAATCTCAACTGGGCGGCCTTACCTCACTCATGAACAATTTCACTACCATACCAAAGACGGAACCTGAAGATAACAATAACGGGAGTAACGCTTCCTGGGAGAAATTTGACAGTTCCCACGTCAGTCCAGAGAGCAATATTAGGAGTATCACACCTCCGAAGCCTATAAAGAAAAGGTTTGTCGAGTATTTCCAGAGTAAGGGCTGCGCGAGAAATATTTTGGAGGGAGATGGAATCAAGGAGGAAGAAGAGAAAAAAGATGGAGATGTGACAAATCAGGAATTGATGAATAAGGTAAGCTTGTTCTGAAATTTATCATGGAAGATGATCATTATATTAAATTTACCGCTAGGTATACAGGGTGTCCCTGGACTTTCTCTTTTCCTCTCGGGAATGTATAGATGGGGTCAAAATATCACCAGTACTTCATATAACTTTTTTTCCTAAAAGTCTTCGTAACCAAGTTACGGGCCCTCGAAGTTACAAAATGAAAAATGTTTTTCTTTGATAACTTTTCAAGTGAATATTCAAAATCATCCAAATTTTGGTAATTGACTAAACAAATGAATTCCTTCGATGAGCTTTCATG